CTGCGCCTCCGGTGGGCTTCTGCTGCCCCCTGGAGCTCCCGAGCAGAACCGCAGGCTCCTAACCGCCAGGTGACACCTGCCGCCCCGCTTGGGGATGGGTTGGGCTCTTGTGATGCGATCCTCAAGGCGCGAAGGCTCCCCTCCGGGCGAGGCGAGCGGCCTTCTCTGCCGCCTGGTGCCAGCTTTCCACAGAGGACGCGCGGGGGGCGGACGGGCGGGCGGGCGGCGGATACAGAAGATGGAACAAGCCGGATGGTCTGGGCTTTCGTGCAGTGGCTGTAAGAGGAGGAAGCCCTGCAGGGACTGGGACCTGCCCTGGATGGTTTAGCCGGAAGCGCGAGGGAGAAAGGGAGGCGCCGAACGGAATCCTGGCCCCGTCGGAGGAGCGCAGCTCTTGGCTGAGAAGTGCTCTCGACTGGAGGCAAGACCGGGGGGGGGGGGGGGGGGGGGTGGCGACGCCTTGCCCGTCGAAGGAGGCCGACTCAGAAAGGCGCCCTTCCCCTCTTTCGCCTCGGCGGTGGAGGAGAGGCAGGAAAACGGCCCCGGACCTATTCTGAAGCCTACGCACGTTGGTATCAGTTTTCATATTTATTCGTTCGTTTGTTTAAAACTTTTCCAACCTGCCTTTTCTCCTTAAAAAGGACCCAAGGCGGCGTATAGCGTCAAAAGACCATTGCGTAAAAGCTAAAAGCGTCCTCCAACACTAAAAAGGATCAAACAAATGCCATACTGAAAAAAAAGGGGAAACAAAAGCCAGACCAAAAACAGATCCGAAGGAACAAGGCAGACCCTCCCCCAACACACCCACACCCACACCCTTCCACTGAAAAACCCTTCCCGGTCAGCCAACCGCTCCAGGGATGTTGATGAGTGCCTCTCCCTTCCCAGTCTAATCCTGGATGTGAGAAAGAGATCATTGCTAAAAAAACCCCCACTTTTAAAAAAAATGCAGCAAAAATCTCCACAGGATTAATGTGAACAACAGGCCACGCTCCTCACAAAGTTGGATCCTGACATGCTGGCGTGAGATATCGGTTGCACTTTGTGACCTTGAATAGCCTTAAAAAGGGATGCGATCACTTGAGGGTGGCAGGGTGGTGGTGGTGCAACCGGTAGCTTCTGATCCAGATGGCCAGTTACCGGCCCCTTCCTGGGCAGAGGCCCTGGGCGTGCAGGGTGGGATCATCCCACAGCGCTCCAGGGCTCCCATAGGAACTCAATTCACCACAACGAGGGAC